TGTCTGATTGTCTGTAAGTGCTCGGTACGACAACTTTTCGCTTGCCCCATCTAGCCGCGCCACGACACGCTCTGTGCCTGCATCGCGATCTCGCATCGCTTCTCCCTCCTTCACGCTATTCTTTCGTCAATGCTCTATCCGAACCTTCAATGGCGATATCGCCCCATCGTCGCCTGGCCGTCAGTCAGAGACATCCGAGTCGTCCCCAGTCGAATCGAACGCCCACCGTCTTTGCGTATACACGGCCCTTGGCCTTCAGTCTCTATTGTTCTCCCTCCTTCACCTGCCTCCTCGTCCCCCCTCTGTTACATTCACATCTCCACAGACGGCCAGACAAGTAAGTGAACAATTTCTGTTGAAGGAGCATAGCGGTTCCTGCAGGTACCTTGCTTCTGTCTCACGAGCATGCATGGGTAGCAGGAAGGGGTAGAGCAAAAAGCCAGAGAAGAGGCCAAGAGACTTCGAGAGCAAAAGAGAGTCGACAGGGGAGGGAGGGTGTGTGTGCTTCAACACACCCCGAGCAGGGGTATCGTCAGAAAAACAGGGGAGGGGGGCGTGTGATAGCATTGTCGTTGACAAGGGCCCTTCCCCTCGTCCACCGTGCAGGCCCCTCCCCAGTCCCTCTGGTCCCGAGAGAAAGGTCGCTACCCTCCATCCCATGTCCACCCGCAGCCAGGCTGTGCGTGATGCCATCCGTCCAGGACCAGGTCGGCTCGAAATACACCGTCTGCCACACGGTCTTCTTTACAAGGTCTTTTTTGGTCACCAAACGTAGTCCAGTGGCTATATTCGCCCCCCCCAGAAAAAAAACGGACAGTACCAGAGAGATGCCGCACGGCAGCACTTTGTTGTCGATATGCTCGCCGTTCGAAACGGCTTCAACACTTGATTGATTCGTGAGTACCTTTCATGGTTCGCCTTCCTTGCTTGCCATGCTCTGCTCGCTTTTCTGGGTGTGTTACGTTCGTTCACCCTTCTCTCCAGACTATGGCAATCCATCGGCGGGGCATATCTGAACTGGCGTGCGCCCAGTGATCGGCCACGACATATTGCTTTCCCAAGGGAACAGCGAAACAAACGGCGCGCCCTCTTGTGCGAACCATCTCTGCCCATGCGGTCCTGCGGGCGATAGTCAGCCATCGACTCAGTCAACTTAGATTAGAGCTTCTCACCCTTCCTCCTACCTTACTCCACACACCCGCGTCTTTATTGCCCACCCCTACCTTTACCGTCACCCCTTCCTTCGAATGCCCCTTCGGTCAGTTGGGCTACCGCGTACGTAGCCTCGATACATTCCACTCTGGGGCTCTCGTGTCTCTCCTTCGGCTGTATTGCCGCCCACTATTACCCCATTTCGTGAAGATAGTCCCGTCCATCAGCTTCTCAGGGCGTCATCTTCATCTCTCCACTCCTTGGGCTCTTCCTTTCATATATCTTTAGAGAGCCCCGTCTCGTCAGGAACGCTCCCATCATCCCATCATTCTTAACCAGTATCCGTTCCTGGACAACCTCGTCTTCGACAGTCGTCAAGTCTCTTCCTTACACAAACATTCATACACACATACACAGGGAGACCAACAGACCTGCACACACACCAAATCTCCTCACGCTCTCTTCAAATCACAATGATCCCCTCGTCGTGGTCCCATGAACAGGGCAGCTCCATCGACATTATGGATGCTTGCTTCGTCCGTGATCCCAGCTTCGACTTCAACACTCCCTTGCTCAGCAGCAGCTCTGCTTCCTCACCGACCTACGACTCCTGCGATCCCTTCACTCCTCGGTCTGGACGATCTACTCCCCACGCCTCCGCAGTTGATTTCAGCGAATCCTTCTCTTCTCACGGTTCATTCAGCTTTGAGCCTGCCGCGGCTGCCATGCCGATACACCACAAGAACCACAGCCACCAACACTATCACAGAGCCGGCACCATGGACATGCCTCTTCAGTACTCTGCTTCCATGCCTCTCACACCCAGCCGCCGCCACTTCTCTGGCATAGACATTGACTACAATACGATGCTTCAGGCCACACTTAACCAGCAGTGCATGACCACCATGTCACCCGTACAGGCCACCATGATGGACCAGTATGCCTCTATGCCCCAGGATCTCCAGTCCTCCCCCTTCACGATGCCCACTCCCAGTCGCTCTCTTCCCAGCTCTACACCAAATCACGCCGTCAACATGTGGCCTTGCAACGAGAGCCCCATCATGATGTTTGGCAACCATGGCACGCCATCCCCCTCTCCTCTCCAGTCCATGTCGATGAAGCGCGATCACGACTCACCCTCACCTCCTCCATCGAGGTCCTTCCGTCGTCGTACTATGACCGAGGCGCAGCGGAGGACGATGGCTCTTCAGAGGCACCAGAGTGAGATGATGTACCGTAGCCAGCACGACTCGGAGGCCATGGCACAGCTCAGGTCCATGAAGCTTGACCACCACTCTGCAGAGGATGAGCTCGACTCTGTCTACGTCGACCGCCGCGTGGTTCCCCGTCCTCGCGAGAGGTGCGACTTCATGGGGTGCCGCAAGACATACCAGAAGAAGGAGCACTTGAAGAGGCACCAGAGGGCGTAAGTTCCAACCATGCATCCAAACCGAACTATCGAGAGTGACCAACTAACAAATCACAGCGCCCATGGCATTGGTGGTACTCCTGAGATGCACACCTGCCCTGCTGATGGTTGCCACAAGGTCTTCAAGGACCGTTTCGACAACTTCAAGCAGCACCTCCGCATTCACAAGGACGGCAAGAGCACAAGGACGCCATACAACGAAGAGGCAGCTCAGATGTACGACGAGTTGTGCAAGCAAAGCAAGACCCGCAACACGAAGAAGGGTCTCAGGACTGCCAAGGCCTAGCAACAGTCTTTCTTCGTCACTTCACATGCTGTTTTGGCGCCCGGCCTCGCCACCTTTTACTTCGTTTCGCTTCTGGCCCACCAACTCCTCCCTTTCCACCTTGATCAACCCCCCCTGCCACACATAATCGCAACCAAAGAAGCAAACACACGCACACACAACTACGCAAAGCCGCATCAATTCGGACACGAAACACGCTCACCACATTCTCAACATCGTCATTCACATCTTCAAATACCATGTACTAATTCTTGCTGTACTCGTCACACGGCGCAATTGGACATTTTTTTTCTCTCTTTCCGTTACGGGGCCTTTTAGTGGCCGGTGCATAATCTTAGGGCTTGGTGGAAGAGAGAGGGGAGAGTATGTGCAGCCGGAACTGATTTTCTCAATCTTTTTTTTTTTTTATTTCCTATGGGGAAAAGGGACATACTTTCTGATTTTCTGGGCTTGATCTCAATCTCCTCACTGCAGACGAATACGCGGGAGGAAATACCAAGACCATTTTTGGGGCGAGGATGGAAAGGCGGCAAGACGGAAAAAACGGGGTTTCTACATTACGGGGTTGCATGGATCATTTTCCTTTCAGCTCACCCACAATCGGCGGGGGCATAGACAGAGACTCGCAACGGACATTTGAGAGTCGGTGAATGGCAAGAGTCGCGGGGTATAGGTGGAAAGCATTATTGTCGTCACGGTAGTCGGGCAAGATAGAGACAAATTTACGGCTTTGCGCATGGCAGACCAAAACCCCGAATACTGCCGCTAGTGAACCTTGTGCCATGGGCAAAATTCCATGCGCATTTCCGAAAACACCCTCACCGCGCCCACGTCTCCATTTTCTCTGCAACTGTGTTGCCTTATTTGGAGCGCAAAGAACTCAACATGGGGCGGAAATTCGCAACATTCGTCCCCAGCAGCCATCTGCTCGGAGCGGCCAGAACTACCTGTAGTCATGAGACCCTCGGGCTGGGCGAACCTAGCAGTGCCCCCCCCCCCCTCCCCTACCCCTGCGCTTCCAGGACCTACGCCACCCACCTCTACCCCTGGCCCATATCGCGCCCTAGACGGGCACCAGGCAGGGCTTGTCCTACATGGAGCAAAGATCGCCTCGGTGGCACTGCCTGGCATGTCTGAGATTCGTAGCTCAAATCCCGATAGTCCCGAGACAGGCTTCCTTTTTTCCAAGGAAGCCTCACCTGCGGTTCGTTCGACCTTATTGCTGAGGGCGCCACGAAAACCCCACCCAGGTCCCCTTCTCAGGACCTCTCTCCCGCTGTAGTCGCTCAACAACACACCAACTCCGCTTAACCGCGGGCCGTAGTGGGCGGCCCCATGATGTCTCATTCATGTCAATCAGCACTGGATGCCGGTCTGGAGCACCGGAGAGCCTTCCTCAGTCTCGCTTTCTCTTCGTGGCTAGCCGCCCCCCCCCCCTCGCGTACGACACCCGTTCCACCACCTCCTCCGTTGCGTACCACTGGTGGAGCACTTTGCCCACCCAAGGCCTCCGGAGGGAATGGTGCTTTCGCCGATGAGGACAGGGACGGACGGGGAAAGCCACCCGTGACGCTGTGATGTGTAGCGTCAGGGCGGCGGGCGGGGCCCGGGAGACGAGGTTTCCGTATTCCTCGGCATGCCGGACGACGTAGGTGGACGTACGTTGTCGCTGTCAGAAGTTGAGCTGTCAGTTTTCAACACTATGTTGCTCACTTTTCCTCACTTTTTCCGCGCCTCTTTCAACCCCTTTCGTCGCGCGAGCCTAGATGCTCACGATCGTTGAGCTATGATGAAGTTTTGTACTTTTTTTTTTCTTTTTACTTGCCTCACCCCCTCTCCCTCTTCCTCCCGTTGGAGAGCTCTCATTCATGGGCTGCATCCATTTTCAGCCCAGCCAGATCTGCTGTGCAGCCACGAGACCAGGTAGAGGCACGCTCGCTCCCCGCCTCCGAAGCGATCGGTGTGGGATCCACGTCTCTCGGGGAAGGCTTCCCAGATCAGCTACAATGGATATGACGAAGCCATCACGGGGACTAGGTTGTCGCTGCCGCGGGGTACCTTCCTTGAGTGAATACGGGACGAATAGGCTAGGGGTTGGTCGAGGCGTTCCACTCACCGGCGGCCGTTCAGCCCACTGCACGTTCTGCGCGCGTTAGGGGGAATGCAAGTTTCTCGGGGGCTCCTCCCCTTGGTGGTGTGGCCCCCCATCGTCAGCCAGGCCTTTCCCTCTTGTGGGAGCGCGTGCTGGACGGAAGCTCGTGACATGTCAGAAGGGGATCGGGGAACCCTCAGTGTAACACACCAACCCTCCCTCTTCGCCCGAGGTACCTACTGTTTACCTGACTACCTGACTACCTGACTACCCACCCCATCCTACCGCTGACGGAGCATCCATTCCTCGATCTAGGCCGAACCTGCAGTAGCTCGAGATCTGTGGGCAGCAGTGCTGCAGATCATTACATGGCTCGACACTACTTGGAGCGAGGGAAGGCTGGCCAGATCGCATATCGGGGTGGACTGGTGACCATTGCGTCAACGTCAGGGTCACCTAGCGGTGCTCTTGTATTGTCAATACATCGTTTGTGCATCGTCCCGCGTGTTGCTCACCACGGTGTGCGTTTGTCGCGTCAGCCTGACCTCCTGAACTTATTCTCGAAGTGTGCTGGAAGAATATAGTGCAACCCACCATGCGCCTTTGTCTGCATACTCTCGGTTTTCGCCGATGGAGGTGACACGCAACCGGGGGAAGGGCCAGCAGTTTGTGCAACCACACGCAGGTGATGCGTGTCGTCGATCTTGAGGCAGGTAAGGTAAGGTACCTTGAGCTAGGTACCTTGGGTGTCGTCCTCGATGAGATGGTTGGGCGAATGATGTGCACAGGGGTTCCTCGGGCGCGCCTTCCCAGTGGCGTCAGGGGCGCTGGGGCCCTGCACCGCGATTTGGGTTTAGGGGCATCTGGGGGGGGATCTGGGGAGTTCTTGCCGGTTGTCTTCGCTGCGCTCGATCCAGCAGAGGGTGGGTCTATCAGAGGGCTGTGGCCAATGGACAGCTACATCTGCAGCCCTGTCAAGCCACCTGATTCATCCAATGCTGTGAGCGCCCATGCCGTGGACGGAGAGCTTCAGCTGTGGCGTGGTCGTGCTTCCCCACCGTGATTCGCTGCACTCTGTCAAATGACAGCAGCCGCAGGTCTCTCCTGCTCCCAGTTCCTCCATCTTTGGGGCCTCAATCAGCAATGCTTCAGGGCTTCAGGGAAGTGGCCAGGCCCTGCCTCTGCTGAAGCACCTGAAGCCCCTGCTCCAGCCCGGCGCCCGCTGAGAGCCATGGCCGAGGCAGGCGTCTGGTTTGTCCCAAAACCTATCGCCATCGTCCAAACACATCCATTGTCGCCGCCTCTTCATATCAGCAGAGTCCAGCTCAAATGCCCAAGACCAGACCGAGGCCCTGATGGATTCGCACCCTCCCCACCCACCCTCTATCATGACGCTTCGTCGATTCGCCGAGACCATGCCAGCCAAGTGACTGACTGACCGACCGACTGACCGATCGACCCCCTCGTTGACCGTTGACATCAATCGAAACGTCAAGTCAGCCTCGAGCCTCGAATCGCGCCATCATCTGCGCCATCATTCTCCCTCATCCCAATACACCCAACCCAAACATTGTTCGACCGCTCTTCGAACAACCCATCCCTATCCCTGTCAGCAGGGAACTCCCAAACATCGTTCTGCCATTGTTCCATGCAGGTCATCGCCTGCGGCTCCCTGTTGTAACCCTCTTCCTGCCTAGCCTCGCTGCACGCGCCACAGCCAACGCCCACACCACCATTTGCATCGCACACTCAGCGATTGTTGCGGGCACAAGCAAGTACAAGAGCGGCGGAGGCGTGAGAGCAATCAACCAGAGACGCCTACTCTCGTCGCTGACGAGGCTTTCCCAATCGTCATGGTGCATCGGCAAGACCGCCACCAGCAGCCGCCCTCCTACCAGGATGCCATCAGCCGCCTCGACTGGCTGGCGTTGGTCGCGCCCTATGTCGCTGTCACCGACTATCCTCACCTTTGTTCTGTGAACAGTCACTTCTGCAGCGTCTTTGCGCCCCGGTTGTGGAACGATCCGCTGCGAACGGTGCGAGTGCTTGGTCTCGAGCCGAGTCACGGTTAGTCCTCAGCGTGCAATCTGTCTCTGCGTCTCGCTACATGCCGCTCACATGCTCAGACCTCGACTGGTACTTTCACTTCGTCTTCGTCCGTGCACCTCGAACAAGGCCTTCCGTCCTGCGCCTTGTGACCGTGCTCGACTTTCGCGACTTCGCCAAGGATAATACTCAGTTTTCGAGCGATGACAGCCCAAAGACCGTTCCGGAAACGTTTAGGAGGCTGCCAACACTATTTCCCCGTCTTCGATGCATCCTTTTAGACGGTCACGTCGAGGCTGACCCAGCCTCGTTGGCAGCGACTCATGCCCGTGGCGGCATCCTCCAACCCCTCTTGCTGAGCATTGCCGACTGCGATGCCCACTTGTCCATGTCCTTCTTCACTTCCGGTTTCCTCCGCAACATAGTGTATCTTAACGTGTCGTGCCTGCCCGGGTCTCTCCAGAGTCTATTGACCACGGCACAGGCACCCGGTGGATTGCCCCACCTGAGGATCCTCAAGGCTAAAGGCCGAGAACTCGATGATAGCGCGGTCGAATCGTTATGCGAAGCCTTCCGGCGACAACTCTGGAGCTTTGACCTCAGCGACAACAAGTTGAGCAACAGCATTGTTGCTGCTCTATCTACCATGCATGCCGGCGCGACGTCATTGCGCACTGATGCACACTTTGAGGTCGAGGGCACGCTGCTGAGGTCAGCTGACCCAGGTGATGATTCGTACGGACCGTTCATGTTCATCCGGGAGTCCGATGTCAGCGCCGAGTTTTGCCATCCAGACCGGTACTTCGCCGATGCCCCCGCTTATTCAGTCGACGGTGTCCACGGCCATGACTCGGTTCGTTCTGACGGTCGCGCCACGCTCAGGACTGACGCGGCCGCTAGCATCAAGACAGTTCTCGCCGGCGGCTTGGACCACCCGGCGCCAGACGATGCCCAGCTCACTCAGCTCGACGTTTGCGCGGCGCCGTATGGCCTGACTCATCTCGACCTGACTGGAAACCGACTGACTTCTTTGGGTGTCGACAAGCTGCTGCGCACGACACCTGGCCAGCTGAAATCCCTGGCCTGCGACGCGCCGTTGCTGGAAACCTATGGCGTACCCTGGCCGAGTGCATGGCCCAAGGGGACCAAGATGTATGGTATCTTGGGATTAGCCCACATGTTCCGCCCCGTCTTCTCGTCCAACCTCCAAGCCCTCCGCATACATCACTCGTTCGTCACACAGATACCAACACTTGAGACCACCGGCATGTCAACAATGGCCCGCCTCTGGTTCGCCGAGACGATGATCCGCGATTTCTCCGAGTTGGCCTATCCACAGGCCTTTGCGCCCGATATGAACCCACGGCTGACGTCCCTGACGCTCACCAAGATCCCTCGGCGCTCAGTCGGACCGTTGACCTCGAAGCTGACCCACTTCTTGAGGCTCGCTGCCCTCCAGGAGCAGGCGATTGGTGTCACCAGCCCATCCGCCCGCCGCCGCCGCAGCCCTGCCGTGCTCCGCGGCATACGGCATATTCGCCTTGAATTCGAGACTGATCCTGTAGAGGATCCCGCCGGCTGGTCCGACGAAGATGACCTCGACGCCAATCGGCTCATGGACATGGGCATTGAGGAGGGCTTCAGCTTCTTCCAGAACGAGAACATTGTGCCCAGGCCGGAGCTGCCCCCACGGCCCATGGCTGCCGCCCCGCACATGACCTCAGCATCCGAGACGTCAGCCGCTGTCCCCCCAAGTGCCGGCACGGCCCCTTCGGCCCGATTCAAGCACGAGCCATACACTCCAAACACCAGCGAGTACGTATCCCACACGCTGAGATGGGCGGGCAAACCCTACGAAGCTCGCGTTTGGATCGGCAACGGTGTCCCAGGCACCTCTGCCGCCGTCAACGCGTACATGACGGCGCTGTGGGACCCGGCGATGAGGACCGGCATCGTCGGACCCGCTACCCCGGCACACGTCAAGGCGGGCGTCCCGGCCGGCGCGCTCCTGTTCTACGCTGCTTGGAATGCGATTGTGGTCCCAAAAGCTGCTCGTACGCCAAGCAAGGCCGAGGTGCACAATATGCACGACGTCATTACAGCACTCAAAGCCCACCGCCTCAAGACACGAGCTGCGTACGAGAAGGCAAGAGACAGGGCCGGCACAGACAAGGGGGCTGCTGCAGAGCCCCATCTGTTCTGGTCGGGAAAGCTCGAGGTGGTGACGCAGCAGAGCATGGCTCACTATCGGTCGTCACGATACTGGAGATGAAGGTTTCATGCCATGACTTGGACCGCGTCCGACAGTTGACGGTAGCCCCAGACTACATTGTTTGTTTTTCCTCCTGTGGTTCGATGAAACGGGCAGCCGTCGGTAGAGCCGTCCTCTTTTCTCCCGTATGGAGCTGCAATGTGTCAGGAGAGGCTTCTGACATGGTGCAATACAACAACGCTGGCAGCCGACAAATGGCCCAGTCGAATCACCGTGGCTTCCTTGACAGATCACTGCTGCCAGGCGAGGCGAAGCGACCGCCTAAACTATCAAAGCGGGAAAAAGCAAAGCTTGCGTGCGATCTTTGCGCAACCGACTTCAGCTGAACGCCAGGCGCGCCCACTTCGCATCCAATAGCGGGTCTGCGAATCTTCAGCTGGCTGCGCGATCATTCTGGGGTCATCAACACGATCGGCCTCGCCGGGTTACAGGGGAACAGACCGATCGTCAATTCTAAGGGGTGGCCGTGTCCCATGTTCATTTCGGTCATATGGGGAAAGCTTTCAAATTCGGTCTTCAATCCATCGACTTTGCCCACCCCCCCTGGACGCCGCCCCGGGACGCTAACCTGGCGATCTAGTGTCTCGCCCTGAGCACCCTGTCTCTGACCTGCATTGGTGTTCTTGGCAGCTCAACTGTCGACACACCCTCCTAGGTAGACTGCCTGGGGTGGGGGCTCAATGAGCAAATCAAAGACAGGTTCAGCAGTCCGGCAAACAGGGCGAGAGAAGCAAGTTGTCACGGCTGGGCTCAACCCCTGAGGGGACCACGCGAGCGGCTGCAAGACAGGCGAGACAGTCAAGGTCGTGCGAGACATAGGCCGCTCTCCATGACAGGACATCACGTCCATCTTGTCTCGAGCTTGGGGCAAGGCACGGAGAAGATTCCCCGCTACGAGGTCAGCGTCAGTAGAGACATGTCTTGGTGAGAATAGGGTCTGACTGGGAGCTGGCATTGTTCTCGCACATATAGTCGCGGGTCCCCTCTTTCTGTTTCTTCGTTGCGATCGAGAAATCGCCTGCTCATCGACAGCCTGCTCCTTGGTTTTTCATGTCGGACGACAGATCTGCCGTGCAACCAGCCCCTACGGGTAGATCTCTCCGTGAGACTTTTCTTTGCAAGACATTCAGGGTCATGTTCATTTGGGACCTTGTCGGAATTGACTTGTCGATGCAGTGAAAGCCACCTGTTCTGATGCCCATTATCTTTCTCGATCGCAGTTTGCGATGTCTGCTTTTCTTGACGAAAGAAGGAAGAGTTGACCTCTCCCAGTCGCCGAGGTCAGGGTTCTGGTCGTGTGACTCGATCCCACGATTGAGTTCGAGATGGCTGCTGTGGCACTCCCACATGTTTAATTGACAGATGCGTGTGTTGGCTTGTTTGTTATTGTTCGGCAGACGCCCGAAAAGATATGGGACAGGGACAACCAACCTGCAGGGACGCATCGGACTCGGAATTCCCCAGGCCCGGCTCGCGCATGACCACAACTGTGCCGGCCGACGGGATGCTATCGGCATCATGACGCCGGGCCGCCCGTTCCAATTGAGAATTGGCTATTCTCGCAATGCGATAGTTGGTTGTGTTCTGCGCCTCTGGCTTACGATGTGCGGGGTTATCAGGCCTCGGAGGATTTCTGACCTCACGTCATCCCGACCTCGCGGCACGGCATACTTGCTGATCAAGCAATATCGCCCGGTGTTGGACACGCATCTGTACACCACGTCAACTCGGCATGTTCTCTCGCGCTTCTCTCTCAAATACCAAGCCCTCATAGACATTTCCAACATAGACCATCATGAGTGTGCCTTCCATTGAGCGTGTTCTTTTCGCGCTGCCCGTGCCCGAGCCGAAGGAGGCCTTGGCTCGACTAAAACAGAAGTTCCCTCGGATCGAAACAACCTGGATCACGACAGCCGGTCCCGACAAGGCGGGGTGGGGTCCTGGTGAACTTGACAAAGGTGAGCTGCCTCGACAGCCTGTTGGACTGATGCCATTCGAGATCTTCATCTAACATGGCGGTAGCCATCTTCGCCGACAAGACAGTCCTTGTCACCCTCTCTGCCCTACCTCCTACAGCCGCAGATGCTCCCAAACTCAAGTTTATACACTTTGCCGGGTCTGGCACAAATCATATCGCGGGCCATCCCATCCTGACTGATTCTACCATCCCGTTGACCAACTCGCGGGGCGTCGCTGGCCCACCCATTGCTGAATGGGTCGTCATGACGGCCCTGGTGCACAACCACAAGTATAATTACCTTAACGAATTGCAACGGGAGTCAACATGGGGCGGCCTCAACGACTTTTGGTCCGTTCGCGACGTTGTTGGCCAACGTATCGGCATCCTCGGCTACGGCGCCATTGGGCGGCAAGGTCAGTAGTATTCTCTGTAGAGACTTCTGCCGGAGGCTGGCTGACGATGAACAGTCGGCCGTATCGCCAAAGCTCTGGGCATGGATGTCGTCGCTTTCACAGCGACGCCCAAAGATACCCCCGAGAAGAGGAAGGACATAGGTTACATTGTGCCCGGCACCGGCGACCCTGAAGGAGAGTACCCCTCCGCGTGGCACCATGGCCTCGATAGGGCCTCTCTGCACGAATTCCTAAAGCAGGACCTTGATATCATTGTCGTCGCCCTGCCCTTGACGTGCGTATAGCAGTCCTCATCAGTGGACCACTTCACCCAGTCCATGGGGCCTGACCGCTGACCTCGTGAACAGCGACCAGACAAGACACCTCTTTTCCGCTGACGAGTTTGAGATACTCGCGAGTCGCAAAGCTTTCGTGAGCAACATTTCGCGCGGCGCGATTCTCGACCAGGATGCCCTCGTCGCTGCCCTCGAGTCGGGCAAGCTGCGCGGCGCGGCGCTCGACGTGACGGATCCGGAGCCGCTGCCGGCCGATCACCCGCTTTGGAAGGCGCCTAATGTCATCATTACGCCGCATATTAGCTCCATCGTCGGCAACTACACCGAGAGGGTCCTGGGCGTGGTGGAGCTGAACCTCGGGAGGCTGCTTAATGGTGGGGAGCTGGTGAATCTGGTGGATAGAGAGAGGGGTTACTAGGCAACGATTGCGAGGTTACACGGGGCTCTCCGGCCTTGAGGGTTCGGTCGGAATGTTTTTAGACTTTTATCTCATCTTGAAATGCGAGTTTCTCAGACCTTTGAGTGGTGGAAACAGGATTAGAAGTGCGCAGGGCCTCGTATGCATTATGGCAGTGACTGGGATTGGCTCTCCACCAGCCGATGATGCCGGCCAGTCAGCCACGTACGGCCTGCTGAGGTGTACATGTCAGGTCCGTACTATGCCTGGTTCGCAACATGGCAGTGGAAGTGCTGGAATACACAATTGCGACACGAGTATCGACTAACGAGGATGCCGTGCATCGTCCATCATGCTCACATGAGAGTTCGGCCAGGGGCTTGAATGGTTTCACGGCGTACCATTGTCAGCCCCTTCCCTGTCCTCTTTCGATTCGTTACCGTTCTGAAATGCCGTCCAGCTCAGAGAGCAGCAAGCTGGGAAGAAGCTTTCCGATACATCAAATACGTTTGATCCCGCATGGGTCGACGGCATGCTGCCCTGCCTCCGCATATAGCTCAACACGTATACGATGGTCCGGGCTTTGGCGGTGACAACGGGGGCGTGCCACGTGAAAATGCCATAGAGTTTATCTCATTATAGTTGCCCTTGAAACCTATTATCTATTTGTATGCTTGATCAACCTGACAGACTTGACAGGGTGCAAAAATCCATGCAAGGGGAGCCATGCTCCTGCAAGTCATCCGGTGAGGACAATAGTCCCAGTCACGGCATGAGGCGATCCTACTTGAGTGCTGAATGTCCCGTTCAATGAAGCGCCTCGCGCACGCGTGAAGACTTCATTGCGATATACATTCATAGCCATGTCCAGCCTATGCGGAAGTCTGTTCTCGACCCTGTCCATGTTGGCAACGTGGCTCACAACCCATCAACCGTAAAGGTACGATGAACCCATTACCAGGCCCGGCATATACATGTATGCACGCAAAAAGTCACAATCGGAAGACTATTGCGTCCTTTTGGGGGATACCTGGACTAAAATGATCAAGCGCAGGGGCAAAAGCATATCGCCGAAGCGTCTCATTCCGAACCAGGGAATCGAACCCTGAGCCTGACGGTGAGAGCGTCAAATGTTAGCCATTACACCAGTTCGGATGTTGATGAGGAGGTTTATCATGCTTTGGCTCTGATTTTTTTCCACTCACAGTAGGTGGAGACCGTTGCGGGGATCCCGCCTGCCTGGGCCCGAACCTCGAACGAGTGCGAAGAAGCTTCGAAGCGCGACGGGCCAAGTCTTCGCCCCACCAGCTTGTGTGCTCTGCTTCCGCGTCCAGGAACGACATGACAGTTGAACGTTCAAGGAGCGCGTCTCCCAGGAACATGGATTTCTCTAAAGCCACGGCCGACAGCTTCTTGCCACTCAAGCGTCTGACTCGTTGCCGGTGATCAGGTACCATCACAGGTGCAAGGGAGATGGACCCGAGCAAACGGCCCCAAGCGCGGAGGCGGGAGGGACCCCCTCTCTGTATTACATCGCAACCAAGAGAAGAGGCTATCGAGACCCTGGACGCACACCAAGTCGATGGACTGGACGCCGGGTTGTCAAGCTGCCCTAGCGACACACCTCGACCTCAACCCCAACCACAGCAGACCGGCATCATGCATGTGTAGATCCTGACCGCGAGTGAGCCTGTCGGATCTTCCCAGAGAGAGTAAAAGAGTGAGGCAAGACAGAAGTGGTATTCCAGACATCTCTCGGGCCTTTGGCGGGGTCCGTTCACAGGATGTCTTGGGCTTATCGATACCCCAGGCGGTAGCGACGAAGCCCCCATGGGGTCGGCAGGCTGAAACACAACATCTCAGGGTGCTGGAACTGCTCGAGAAGGGCGTTCGAGGAAGGGCGGCTTGGGGAGACAAAGCAGTCATCCGATGTCTGCCAGAGTTTCAATAGTGCGGTCCCGAGATTGCCACTGCTGGTGCAGGATACGGCCAGGGGCCGTGTGCCGCATCGAAGAAATAAAATTGCCGGGCGGCAGACGGACGAGACGGACAGACGGACAGACGGACAGAAGTGACTCAGATTGGTGATGATGGAGCGGCTCTGCGCGCAGAAGTGTAAAACATACCGGAGAGAGCCTGCTGAAGTGCCCAAAACCGCATCCATTGACTTTGCCCCCCCTGAAGACTGCATGCTTTCCCCCAATTTGCTCACCTTGCTGGCCCCCCCCGAGATCAGCGACCTCTCGCATGCAGGACAGCCGATCGGTATTCCTTCTGACATCTCCCAGAACTGCATGTCTTGCTCGTTGTAGGAGCTGGTCAGATACACATGTCCGCCTCCC